CTCTGAACCTCCCATTCACTATGTACAGGCCTAAGGCCCGACAGAGATGCACTATCTCTTTGCCATTCTGATTGATTTCAGAGTCAAGGCTGTTCCGATGGCTGACGGTTGGCGTGGTAAACAGGGGGGGCTCACCAAATACATGGTGGCTGACCTGTGGGTCTATGACATCAGGTTCAATTCCTGTTCGTCCGTTCAGATCTCCAGTTAGAAGCACATTTCCCTGGGCCTGAAAATAGGCTATTTCTGAATGGAGAGTTTCAAAAATGTCTTCTTCAAAATAAGGAGAATCTACTGGGGGTATATAAATAGCACACACGTATAGATTCCTGTCAGTTATGCCCAGGGTTTGATCCAACCTTAGCCAAATGTGTGATTTACCTTGTTTTAGTACTGAGATCTGATGGCAAAGATCTCCTTTATACCACACCAAGATCCCCCCCGATGTTCTGCCCTTGCGTATGTTTTTTGATTTTATAGAGGGCACCATTACTTCATTATAACCTGGAGGACAGTGAGGGAGCAGATCATTTTTACACCATGTTTCTGTTAATATAATTAGATCAACATCTTTGATAGATTCTAAGAACTCTGGATTCTCACTCTTAACCTCAAAGGTTGAGGAGTGGAGTCCCTGAGTCTCTCTCTCTCTCTCTCTCAAATGATCTGGTGCTCCTTTTTTGGAGGGGGGTGCGCACCAGTTATGTGCAGCCCTGTATATATATGCCGTTAATACCTGGCTGCTAAATCCTAAGAACTGTTACAGGATGTGAATTTTGTAAATTGTGTAACTTTTTATTTTTATTATATCATAACTTTTTTTAACTTTAATACTTTTTAATGCATGCACCATATGTAACATTAAGTTGGCTCTTTTTCTGCTGTAACAACGTACATTTCTCTAATGAAGGTATTCTGATTCTGATTAAATGAGTGCTAAATAAACAGTTTGTGGCTCGTTCTTTAATAGATGCCAGGAATAAGCTCTATTGTAGTGCAGCTTTGAAAAAATAACCAGATTGACTGATAATACTTTTGTGTTTTATTCTGATCATTTATGTTATTACCTCTTGTGCTTGTCAAGGCTGGATTGGCGGAGAACACTGGCATTGTTCTGAACAACGTCAAAGAGAAGAACAAGGCGGCACTCTGAGTACAGGAAACATCAGCATCATTATCTGGCAACAGGATTAATACAACAACTCCAGAATAAATACTGTATACAATCAACTGTTGACAACAAAATACACATCACAGAGAGTCACGTAAAATGCATATTGTTTTAGATGTCGTGTGTGTGTAAACAATGTGAACTTTCTTCAGCTCAATCTGAACACAATGAGTTAAGCGATACCAGGAGTTGAAGGCCAGATTGAAGTGTGAAGAAGAGAAAAGGCCCGGACACACCAATCTGACACCAAATAACTGACACAGACGGACCCCGACTGTTGCGTCTTGCGTTTTGGCCATGTGTCGCACTGGAACACACCGCAAAGACTTCAGCCGACAACCAAAGAAGCACGTACGAACTGCGCATGCGTGAGTGGCAATAACTCTCCTTACCAGCAGGCGGTGGTAGTGTGTATTCGTCATTCAAAAGAGGCAACAACCGGAAGACAGACTGCATGATTATCAAGAAAAGAAGAACAGACTGCGTGATATAAACAAACAACAAATAGCGTGTGCGTTCCATTTTCACTCTACAACGAGAAGCTCATGGGGCTTTCCCGAGCCTGTGTTGAGAGCTGGAGTTAAATGAAATCTCAGATTTGCCTTCTTAATAGTTTGTTTGGGTCCCTCACTTCCGTACTTTAACGAACTCCTTCTAGGGACCTTATCCGATCGACTCCAAATTCGTTGGGTAGCGTATTGACACATGGGCGAAAAAACGATATCACGAAACTTTACTTTTTTCGTGATTTGGCGTCAAATTTCACGTTGACTCGATGCTAGGCGTTCACTCGTCACGATGATGTCATAACTCCAACTGACATGCTCAGAACGCCACCAAACATCCCGTGAGGGTCAACACTGTGGCCCTGAACAGCTCTACACCACATAATGCTTACATAATGTGGCGTTACCATGGCAACGCATCCCTCGCCATAAAATACGATGTCGCTGTAACTCCAATCGTCCCCCAATCTTCACTTGTATATCACCGGTCCATGCCTCAACAGCTCTACATCAAATCTGTGATCTCACTATATGCCATTTTCCATGGTAAAGGTTTTCTCATAATTTCAGTGAAAATGCTCCAAACGGCCCTAAACTTCACAGGTTTTGTAAGGATACAGCCATTAACACATCTAAGCGTATTCTGGGATGTCATCATATGCCATTGCAATGGCGACAGATCAATCGCCATCAAACACAATGTTTATATTACTGCTGTAACTCCCATGTACGTTGTCCCATCGGCCTGGAACTTTCCACGTCTGCCAACGGCCGATTCCGGAAAACACCTGCCTGACACGTCGACGTGCGGACAACGGCCTGCGAAGCGTCGAAGACCCGCTCAACACTGCTTGCAGCTTTAATTATGATTCTGTTTTAACATTTTCTAAGTATAGAGCCAAGCCACTCCAGAATAACAAAATAATCGCTCTATTAAAAAGACTTTCTATTCCAAAACTCATCATGGATCATGGTGTGAAAAGGTGTGGGACTAAAGGTGATAAATAGCTTTGACTAAATATCTACTATGAAAGTAAGGTATAGTTAAAAAAATGCCAGCTATTAGTATATAGTTTCAGTGATGAATTTTCTCACATATTTTGTACTCTTTCTTTACTGTGTTGGAAATAGCTATGGATCAATTGTGTCTGTTAGTTATGAGGGTATGATTGTAAATAATTGAATTCATGAACATGGGAACTTTTTGTATTTTTTTTGCTGCCTTAATTTTCCATAATTTCCTTGAATTACTTTAAGGTGGAAGATAGAGGCAATACATATCTTCTATAAATAAACTAAGAAATAACATTCAAGCCATAAGCATCCATTAGAATGTTATTGTACTTTACACATTGGAACTGGAAACACCTGTGGCTATGTGGCAATCAGTCATGCCACACAGCAACATATGCTATTAGCAGGACTCAACTAGAGAGATATCCTGTTACTATAAAGGTCAGTTTATTTGTTAATACACGAATGACTGGCAAATACTGTACCAGCTCTTGGAGTAGACCTGTAGGTGTGAGAGAACTGGAGACACCAGGTGTGTGTCAGTGAGGTCATCTTACTATGTTATCTGCTGCAGTGAGGATGGGCACTGCCTTGCAGCTATTTGAGCTCACTTCCTTTACACTTACAATCATAAACGTGTCTGTGGCAAGACGTTACAGGCTGCCCCCCCCCCTTTGCTACTGAGCGGCCTGGGGCCACAGCAGCAGTCCACTAAGATATCAATCATCTAATCATTGGCACAAGAGAGCCAAGTCCTCAAGCTTTGTCCCTTAAAGAATCATGTTAAGAAGTCATTTAGAAGCAATATTATTGTTATTAAAAAAAAGAGCAATGTGTAGGATCCAGGGAGAATAGGCAGAAATACATGTTTCATTAGTGTATAATAACCTGAAACTAGTGCTGGGCTTAGTAATAATATCTGACTTGTTAATAGTATGTTGCTATTTTAAGGCTATCTCTAGTCTCTAGATAATACACCTTGACATTTCTTATCTTCTTTAAAAATAACAATTAACAACCAACAGTTAACTAATATGAACACCCTGAGGTGGTGAAACTCTATTCTGAAGTGAGATTGGTCTTTTGAAATGTATTATTTGTTATTATGATTGAGTAATTATTCACACAAACAACATTTTTTCTCTGAAATAAAGTTTGAAAAAAAAAAAAACATGAAAAATGTTTTGCTTGACACTGTCTCCTTTTTTCCTCACTTCCTTCAGATATACAAATAAACGCATGATACACCACACACTCTCGTGCCAAGGAGCATGCGTCTGCGTGTCTAATGCTGGCCGCATAGAAGGATATAATGTGAAAATGTATATTTATATTTTGTCATTTACTACAACCCACACACGACAAGCCACAATACATCAAGTATATTGGATATATCTCCCAGTCCTACACCTGAAACCAAAACATATTGGCTTTAAATGAGCCCTTAATTTCTAAATAGGACACAGGTCCTCTTCCAGCGAGTCTGCCATGTTTTAGGCCTCAGGAAGTGAGCTGGGCATTTATTTTAGTAGCCAGACGGTTGTAATACACTTTACTTGTCAGTCTGTGACACAAATTGGGACATGTAAGGCTTTTTGACAAGTATTTACTTTGGGAAAGAGACGTCTGTAAGTTAGGGATGTGCATCTCCATCACTGAGGCCGATGCGATGCGCATCTCGATACGTTGCCACGATACGATACATTAACGATACCTTTGAAACACCAGGCGATGCGATACGATACGATTCACCCCTGTTGCGATACAGTTCGATACGATTTGATTCAACATTATGCGATTCGGGGCGATACGATGCGATTCAACACGATGCAAAAATAATGATACTTCAATATGGTACGACAGAGGATTTTTGTTTTATTCCTTATATGCAGCAGCAAATCATACATTAACAAAAAAGTGCTTTACATATTTGGTACTGCACATCCCATCATGCCGTTTATTTTTTTACCTTTAAAAGCTCTCCAGTGTACAATTGTATAACACCTCACAGTTAAACAATGTAAGGATGCATTGCTCATGATTAACAATGTGCAAATAACAGCTACCATAGAGCAATGCCCATACAGCTGCCAGCCTGATGTGCTTAACACTCAGAGGCTAACTCACCAGTGAGCAGAAAGCAGTGGTTTCTATCTGAACAATAAAGAAAACAAATAACCTTTCACAAACAGGTATTTCATAACTGCTTACAGTAAGGAAGACATTTAAATTATTATTGGCCGTCACAGGCTGCTGTAAGCTAAACACACAGGCTCTGTAAGCTAAACACCTCTCACTGAGTGATTTAACTCATATGTCTCACTTTCAGGTTTCTCTTTTCAGCCGCAGACCCCACGTCGCCTCTTTATGTGCGTCGCTAAGTTCCTCGTACTACTTGTGTACTTTAAAGCGGCTCGGCATCGTTAACAATTTGCGAGTGATTTTTCAAGTTGACCGTCTGTAGTATATAGTGCCGCGCACATATACCATCAGGACGTTACTGATGGGGTGCGGCTGCGGAGTGATACTGTGTGTATGCGAGTCCGCATCTAGGACGGATCTATGTATCATGGCTGTAGACCTGTTAAGTAATAAAGATACCTCATACAAAGGTCTACGGATACCTTATTACTCCCATGACCTGCGGTCAACTATATAGCATAAATGACTATTACACCGTCTTTCTTGAACAATCCGAAGTGTTGCCAAACGTTTGATTTGTAGGTATTTTTCGGTGCGCTGTGTTTCTCTTTCTCCTCAACTTCCGTGTGTGTTGATAACTGAGACTCTCGTTGTCCGTAGTGGCGAAGCAAATATCAAAGATCGTCTCTGGTGAGCGTTGACAAGATGAGGGGATTTTATATGAATGAATCGTTTTTTTACCGATGCAAAGACGCTACGCAATCGATGCATCGCGAGTTCAACCCGGTTCAACCCAAACTGTAGCCGATGTGCACTCTTTCAACCGGTGCACTCGCATCTTGAACGTTTATGCCGGTGCACCGATGTGAATCGGTGAATCTTAACATCTCTACTGTAAGTATATCCTTTTGGATACATTTAAGACCAAATCCAGAGTTATTTTCCCTCTCCATTCATTTGACTGAGCCGGGACCAGAAGTAACGTTGCAATGACGGAGCGGAAAGGAGGGCATAAAGGAGGGCCTTCTGCCTCTTCGATAGTTCTTCTATACGCTTGGAAAGGGAGATGTATAAAACGCATATAAATGTAGTGGTGACAAATTACCACAATTTCCAGAGAAGATACTGTATGTATGCAGATGGTGCTGGGTGACATTATTTTTCAGAGAAACCCAAATCTGCCATCTTACGTTCGGCTCATCTTATCCTGATGGCCAATTAAGCATGATGGGTTGTGCTTGTTGTGAAGTAACAGCTGGCATTCAGACCTTGGTGTCAGTCACACTATAGTTAGCAGCAGTAGCGCCAGGCTTGAG